CCGGTGAAAACGGACTATTTTTAAAAGGTGGTTTGTCTTTTTTACTTGCGGTGTTTTAAAAAGCGGGTAGAAAAAGTTTTTTTTTTTTTTTTTTTTTTTTTTTTTTTGCGATTGTTTATATAGACAGTTTTCAATAATATTTGTTCAAAGGGTTTGTAAAATTTTATTTTAATCGGTATAAATTTCAATTCAGGTAAGTCAATTTTTAATCGACGGTCATTTGAAGCGACGTCTGACATTAACATACGACAAATAAAATTGGTTCAATGCAAAAATTTCTAATACACAACTCTTGATGTAGAAATCACGACTATTAACATAAGTGAATATATGACAAAAAGTTATTTTGAAAGTTTATATTGGTAAAAACATCTATTTACGCTTTACATTTACAAAGATTTGTATTTTCTCAAGTAAAATATTGAAGATAAAGTTTCATAAAATGGTACTGTAATTTTTTTACATTCATTCCAAAGAATATATAATACGTTAAAATTTACAATATTTATATGGTTTAGTATCTATTCTAACCAATAAACCCATTTAGCAACAAACACCTTTAACACCATTCGGAAAATTATAATTCCCTATAACGGTTCCATTATAAGGGTTAATTCCAGAACTAGAATTCAAAAAACGGCCCATATCAAAATCACTTGATGATCTCGCTGATGAAGTTGAGTTATGCACAGGTTCGTAAAGATCGTCATCATCTAGAGCTTGGATATTCAATTGTGTGCGAGCTTTTTTATCTTGTTCCAAATGTCTCTTGTGCTCACGATAAATGTTGACGAGCGCACCATATTCATCATCATCATTTTCTTCTTCCTGTAATTGTCGACTGTAAGCCAGTAGTCTACTATGCCTATGTCTATCATGTTCTAAATTATTGGTTAGATTAGAGACGACCGAAGTATATGTATTAGATTTATCCATCTGGATTATAAAATTAAGTATGCTAATGTTTGAGTTCATTTTTCTGTATGTAAACGATGGTAAAACTACGGATTTTTTATTTTCAAAGAATCAAGAATTTATATGATTTTAAATTTTAAAACGATTTAGATTGTTTATAATTATGGTTGAGGTGTCTTTCTTACGATATTTATTCTTTTCAGAGGTCTTGGGTTTACAAATTAAGAAGTCTTCATATCGCAAATACGGAACTTTTTATTCACTGATATTTTTAGATAGTATCTGAAATAAGTTTATGCATTATGTACGTAATGTTACATAACAATAACAATCTGTATAATTCCGTTAAGTTGGAGTCATTGATTACTTTATTTATACAAATGACTATGTAGTATTTATTTCTCTTTTTACACATATTTGAAGTATCGAACAGCAAGTGTACTACTATTGTGACGTTATCAGAATGTTAAAAATCGTGTGAAGCGAGTCATTTATAATGGTTATCAATTTCGCCGTTTGAGAAAGAACCAAAATTTGAATAGTTATTGTGGTAGAAAAATCGGTGTAATATATTTGCAGTAACTGATATTAGACTGATATTAGACTGATATTGGATTCCTGGATTTTACATATATGTATTACACAAGAATGTACTAGATGAAAATAAAGAATCACGATAAATCAAATGCATGCATGTGCAATAATCGGGATCGACTATTTTAGGATTCATATAGTTCCTCTACTTGAGCTTGTATTGAGTTTATGTTGAGTTTGTGTTTGTAACTTTAATGCTTCGTGCTATGCTTCGTGCTATGCTTCGCTTAAGAATTCTGCACTAGCATTAAAAGTTTATTGGATGTTGTGTATTAAAATAGATTAGAAAGAAATTTATTTGGAAAATATAATACATCAAATAAACATTGACTTTTTGAACATTTATAGAATAAAATGAAGACTTGAGTGATTTCTTTGTATAAATTATTATCAATTATTATAATTTATTATAAATTATTATAGATGTTTTGAAATTTCTTTATTACATTCAACCACCGTTAATGTCAACCTCATTATCAACCCCTTGTTAATATCAATCTCTTACTAAAAAAAAGAAGGCTCAGGCTATATAAAAACTATCCCATTGTTATCAACACTCGTATATATCAACTAATACTCCAAACAGGTCGGGTCAGGCCGGTTGTAGGCCAACCCGATCTGGACTTTCGGTTCAGTTCGGCCGAACATTTTACATATCGATATTGAGAAAACTTAGTGTTTCAAAATCTGGTCGGGTTATAGCCGACCCGAAAGTTTCGGGCCGAATTTCGGGTCGATCGTAGCACTATTTCTCGACTATTTTTTAGATGAGTAACATTATCATACACTTATTGTATAAATTTTTATTGTTCACATATTTAAAGTATTTGCACGTTGAACTTCAGTGCATACGTTGTATTTGTTTTTTTCGACAATGATTCATTCATTTGATTGCGCATGAGGGGTTCCGTTAATTTTACCGAAACTCACTTCAAAGACAACTTATTTCACCGACAATCCTTTTACCGACAAGCTTATTTCACCGACAATTAATTTATCGACAATCA